TAAAACCAGCTCCAAACTGCACTTTTAGTTGTCGTTTTTGGTAGAGTGGGTGGTACGGCGAGCAAGTGCAGTATGGAACATTTTCACTACTATCTCCACCAAGTCTAAAATACACATCTTTTCAAGCTCCAAACACGTCGTTGCTTTGACCGAGATTTATTCCCGAACGCCACAGGGCGCTAGAATGACCATACTATCTACCTGTCGACTCGATGGCGATTGCTAAAATACAAAACGTCCTCAGTTTTCAATTGCCAAGTTTAGCAACTCCTGCCTCCGGATGCATACGATCGAGCATCTCTTCCGAGAGCCCGATTCAAGCAATATTTTGGATAGTAAACTTTTTTCTCATAGTTTTATTTATCGAATGAGTGAAAATTTGCACAAAAATATAGAAATCGTATACTGGTGTAGCTAGAATAAGTCATCTCACGGCCAGAAAATCATCTAAATTATGGTTGAAAGAACTGAAGCTATATCCTTCATTTCATCGATCTCTCGGTAGTCCAAGTCACCAAAATAAGCTGTAGGTACGGTGTGTACGTAGAGGTGATGCTTTCGTCAAGAAGGAGGGCTCCATCGATCGATTTGACAGTAAAACGCATTATCGATTTATAGAGGTATATGCATGTCGAGCTCCATGTAGCAGCGAGGACGCTATGTGGCCCATATAGGCGATGAAAGGAGACGATTTAGGTACTCTAGTAGTCACATGTGATATTTGGAGCAAGTTTGGTGGCGGTAATGGAGTGTGTGTAGGCCTCAGGAGGGTCGATATAAAGCGCGTTATTGAGGGCTCTTGAGGACATATGAGCGATTCTTTTTTATGTAGCATGTGGTTGGCACCGATATGATTCTAATAATGATGTGAAGATCGCTTTATGTGCAGGTTGTCATCACTGGTATTTATGCGTATAAAATTGAATGTGTAATTTTCATCCGAAAGTCAGCTTGGCCGAGTGGTTAAGGCGTTAGCCTGCTAAGTTAATGGGGCAACCCGCGTGAGTTCGAATCTCACAGCTGACGATCCTCTTTTGTCCCACCCGCCTAGCGATCTTTTTTTAATTCAAGGCCTTTTTAAACATTAATTTCATGCAACTAAAACCAGCTCCAAACTGCACTTTAGTTGTCGTTTTGGTAGAGTGGGTGGTACGGCGAGCAAGTGCAGTATGGAACATTTCTCTACTATCTCCACCAAGTACTAAAATACACATCTTTTCAAGCTCCAAACACGTCGTTGCTTTGACCGAGATTTATTCCCGAACGCCACAGGGCGCTAGAATGACCATACTACTCCAGTTTTTAATTGCCACGCAATTCTTTTCAAGGACAACTAACATTCTCCGTGCGCAGCTCACTCCCAATGACCAAGTGCTGGTGCCAAGTCCCACGCAATCAGGCGTAGCACTACGTATGCGAAGTCTTTGAGCTAGTTTCCACAACTGCAACTTGATTTCAACGCGAACACCTTTGATTGATTGATTGATTGACAACTAACATTTTCCTCTTCGCCGCGTAGGACAACAAACCGGTTTCAGTATGCACGCTGGTGGACCTGCTATGCACTAGAAGTAAACGTACCGTTACTTGACTTTGACGTTGTGATCGCTCTCGCTTTAGGTGCCCTTTTCAGCAGGTGCGGCTTTCCATGTCTGCTGACCAAGGTGCGCTTCTCTCTTTTTCACTGTTTTACACCGTGTGTCTTGGTGTTAAATCCCCGTCGCCCCTTACTAGGAGCAAGATAAGCCTTGACACGGGTATCGCATCATATCCCACGTCCCATCATTTTCTGCCGAGCGATGGACGACGCTGGGGCGCTGGCCGCGGTCGACGGCGCCGTCGCGCGCCTCAAGGACGCCGGGGACGTGGCAAGCGCATTGACGCTCCTTAGCCCTCACAACGCGATCTACTGGGCGGACGAGGTCGACGAGGCAAGCCCGCCGGCGCCGGCGGCGACGCCCGAGTGGCGGAAAGCGATTAGCTTTGCCGACTGGATCGATGCACTGCACCCGAAGGACCGCCAATGGAGCCGCGCGCAGGTCATCGAGGAGCACGAAGAGATGTTCCGCATTAGCTTTGAGAATGGCATCGACGACGACATGTGGGTCGACCGTCAATCGGCCGACATTGCCCCCGACGGCTCCAAGCTCTACGAGCCGTGGCGCAGCCGCCTCCAGGTCGGGGACCTCGTCGACTGCATGGACAACCATTACTTGTGGTTCACATCGACCGTGCTCTCGATGTCGCCCGAGAAGAAGATCCTTATCGGGTACCGCGTGTACTCGATGGACGGCGACCAAGTCGACGCGCGCGGCCGGTACTCGGGCTACGACGCCGAATTTGACCAGTGGTTCGACCTCAAGTCGCACCGGGTCGCGCGGGCGTACACCAAGGCCGACGGAACACTGCATCGCAGCACGCTCCCGTCCTCGGACGCGGACCACGTCTTTGCCAACGCCGCGTCGACGCAGCGCTGTCACTCGCCGCTCCTTCTCGCGTCGCTCAACCGATTCGGCGCGTGCCATGGCTTCTCGCTGCTGCTGCACGCGATCCCAACACTGTCGATGGCCGAGCTTAGCAGCGTCCTCGAGTGGCTCCTCGACATCACCGAGTACCTCACGCAGCCGTTCGCGTCCTCGTACCTTGTCGACGTTGACGCTGCCATTAGCGCCAGCCTCCTCCTGCATCTCCGTGCTGACGTGCGTGCCATCTCGATCGACGTCGCCGCGCACTGGGCCGGCCGTCTCCAATCGCTTCTCTCGCACGTGCTCAACGCCAATAGCACGGCGCTCCGCCTCGACACGTGGCTCTGGTCCGTCTATATGGTGTACATTCGGTGCCCGCTCCTCGAGCGTCAATTCCAAGGCGTGCAAAAGATGGTCGACCTCGTCCAGAGCTTTCATTACCGGAAGCGCCAGCACCTCGACGCCGCGCTCCTCACCGAGTGGTTCCAGCGCGATCATGTCCTTGACGTGCTCCTCGTATCGCATGCGGAAGTGCTCCAGCGCGCGCTCGAGCTCTTCCGCTTTGGCGTCCAGCAGCGCGTTGTGGCCATGTCGACGCTATGGGCCGTCGTTCTCGACCCGGCCGCCGAGAAATCCCGCGTCTCGCTCCTCTACTCCTTTCTCGTCGAGATGGCTGCCGTGCTCGCGCCGGACCAGCTCCTCGAGCTCTGGCGGCTCGTGCAAGCACTGGACCTTGCGCTGTACAGCGACGACACCATCACGTAATCCCGTCTTGGTGCCATGGATGATGATAGAGTCGATTAGGTGGCTCGCGCGCCTGCACAAGTGGCTCGGTATCCGCAGTGTGGACACGTCGGACGGACCGTCGACGCTGGACCTGTTCTGGGCGATTCTGCAGCACCCGAATCTCCCGGCGTCCGTGCAGCAGGCGGCACAACGTGGCCTTGTCGGCGTGTTGAGTGCCATGGACATGAAGGTAGCCTCCGTCGACGACAACGAACCTAAGAACTGAGACAATACGCACGTATAGACACCGCGCCAAGAAAACCTGCTTCGGTGCGTGGCCAATCTCGCCAACTCGACCGCGGTCGTGCCGTCGCTCGAGATTGCCGAGGCGCTCCTCGAACAGTACCCGCTCATCTCGTACACGGCGTTCACCATACCCCGGGGTCTCGCGTTCTCGCAGCTGCCGGACGTGGTGCCGCGTCTGCTGCAGGTGCTGCCGGCGTACCCGGACGCGGCCTTTCGGTTTCTCTCGTTCGTGACACCGCTGGGCGTCACGTTGACCGACGACGAGCTGCGTGTCCTAGTCTCATTCAAGGACGACGACGAGCGACTCTACCCGTTCCTCTCGGGGCTCTGCGCCTCCTTGCCATTGACGCAGTCGACGTTTGTTTTCGAGTGGTTTTTAACCCACGTCGACGCGCATTGGCCGCTGCTTCGCTTCCGCTGCTTCGAACAGTACTTTCTCTCGCTCAACCAAGCCCATGGCAAGCTCGTGCGAAGCCTCTGGGACGAGACGACGCTCTTCGATGCGCGCGTCCTTCCGCACGACGTGCTTGGCATCGATGCGCTCTGGCACATTGCGCTCAACGCAAGCAGCCTCGAGACCGTCAACGCGGTCGTACCGTGCCTCCACGCGCTGTACCACGACACGGACTCGCCGCTCGTCCAGGAAGAGTACATGGACCAGTGCTGCGCGCACGCGCGCGTGGCGGTCGCCAACGCCAACGCACCGGCCGTGGCGCGCTGCCTGCACCTGTTGCAGCACATGGTCGGGCAGTGGGAGGCCGTCGAAGTGTGCTCGCCGCGTACGCGGCCCCACGGCGCCTTGTCGAGCCCGAGCGACGCGTGCCTGGAGCTGCATTGGAACGACCAAGTGCTCTCGATCACGCCGTCGACGACCATTGGCGAGGTCCAGGCCGCGATCGCAGCGCTCTGGAAGGTGCCTGTCGGTGCGGTCGTCCTCGACTGGCACGACGCCAACCGGACCCACCGTGTGCCGAGCCTCTGCGTGCAAGCGCGCCACGGCATGCTGCCGAGCCTCCTCGAGGCCAAGTCGAGCACCCTCTTGCCGGCCGTGAGTGCGGTGGCCGCCACGTGGTATGCGGACCGCGCGGTCGCGATCGAGCGCTACAGCAACACGAACGTGTACGTCATGTTTCGGGGCCAAAACGACGAGCACCACTATGACCTCGACGAGTGGCTGCATTTCATCGCGTCAGTCGCGTCTTTGTATCCGAATTTGGTATGGGCGCACCTCGTCGAGTCGGGCTTCCCGCCATCGCCGACCAGTCTCCGCTTGCGGCTCGTGAACAAGTACTTTGGACTCTTTATGGACGTCCTCGAGGTCCTCGAGCGATCGCAGCACGATGCGTCGGCCATGTGGGATCTGCTGCAGCGTCTGCCGTCGTACGTGGTCGCGATTGACGAGCCCATCTCGCTGTGCCGCCCGCATCTGGTCTTGTACCAGCTGCAGATCCTCGCGGCGAGCCCGCAGCGCATGACGCCGTCGATGGTTGCAACGCTCGTCGAGCTCGTCGGCGCGCCGTCGCTGGGGCTGCAAGCGCACGCGTACCTGCTCTTGGTGCTCCAACGCCACACGGCGCTGGACCTGCCGCGCCTCGTGACACTCTTGCGCATGGTCGCGTCGTCGGCCGACATGAACACGGTCGAGGTCCGCCAGCTGCTGCAGTGTACGTGCTACATGTGGACACAGCACACGGCGGCGCTGGCCACACGTAATGAAGACACGGCGCTACTACTGGAGCTGCTGCAGTGCCCGACGAGCGCCGGCGTCCGCAGCGACATGGCCTCGATGCTCACGGCATGCCCGCCGTTGTGGACGTTTTCCTGGCTGCCATCGGGCCTGCCCACAGCGACCTGCCCCGAGTTTTTTGCGACCCTCGTCGCTGTGCTGCAGCAAATGCCCGTCGACGACCGCATCGCAGTGCGCGACGCGACGCTCCATCGGCTCTCGACCACGCTCATGGCGCCGGACGCGCCGTCGGCCGATGACGTTGTCGCTGGCTGCTTGCAGGTCCTCGCGCAGATGCCGCTCGAGTGGGCGGTCGTCGCGCCAATGTACACGGCGTATCT